GTCTCTTGGGGAAAAAAATGCATTTAATTATCAGTGAAATTCAACTCCAGTTTGTAATGATGAATGATTTGAACCTGTCAGCTTTTTTTGTCCCCTGAAAAACAAAAGAACTGAAATGAAATACAGTCTTCTTCTCCTACTCCCTTCCTTCCACCTGCTTCATTTATTTGATGAAGGTTTGAGCTTTTATTAATCTTTTTGAGCTCCTCTGTAAGATGCAGAAAAAGCTAATATGATATCATTGTATCTAGCTAATGTGTGTGCTTTGTGAAATTGATACACCCTGCCAAGACATAAATTACTTAAGCTTTGATAAATGTGTTGAAATCAGGGAATGTTCAAACAGATAAAGCGCAGCAATTCCTCTTTTTCTCCCTTTTTTAAACTCCATTTTGTGCTTGTGGTTAAATGTTTTGCATTATTGTTCTAATACGATGGGACAAAAGACGGCAGCGATACCAATATTAGCACAGAGAGCCCCATCGAGTACAAAAGCCACGGGGCGCACAGCCCTGAGTTTTGCAGATAACATCTAACAACCTTGCCTTGGACAGAGCATTTGCCAACAGGTTCAGAACCACCTCCAGTCCTCTCTCAGCATGCTGTATTCAGGGAAATTGTCTTTAGAAGAATGAGGGTGCCTGCCAGACACTTTGTACTTTCAGATCTTTTGCTGACTCATTTGGTTGGTTGGAATCAAAGATCCACAAACACGTTTTGTTGGCAAAGAGAGCTCACCTGCCCCTGTGATCTGGATATGACTCAGATGCCACCGAGACCAGAAACAGGAGGAAGCATTTGACTGATGCTCTGGGGTTGAGAAGGTTGATTTCTACTCGGTCATTAATTTATTATATGGCACTGCACAAGTTGCTTGATTAACCACTAATCAGTTTCCTGGAGGCCTGAGAATCCATATAATTCTCTGAAGACAATTCTTGAATAAGAGGCATGGGACTATCCCTTGGACCATGCAAGAGCCATCAGTCACTGAATGCCTTTTGCCAGAGGTTGGGCTCAGTAACTTCCATCCATTGTTTGATTTTAGTCCTTACAATCCACCAGCAAAGGAGGAGATAAAGGTGAGGAAACTGGGAATCATGTCAGACATTTTAAGTAAAGGGGTGATGAGGTCATCGGGCACCAAATCCTATGCTTTTCCAGCATGTTGTTTCCATATTGAGAGTATGTGGATGAGTGCGGGGCAGGTTCATCCAACCCCCCCATCAGCCATCCCTGATTAGGTCTTTTGAGGTTAAGCACAAGCCTTGGAGACTCGGGTCATACAACTGTCCGTGTACACCTGTTTAGGAGATGGTGCCCTCCCATCAGTGGTGCACACATTGTAAGAAAATATTTCAGGGAGAAGGGTAATTTGCACCAAAGGGAGTGGAAGTTGGGAGAGGAGGTACCACTCTCAGCTTCTTAAGACAATTAGAAATGTATTTACTCATTCAATTATACTTTTCTACCAATACATCATTAACCAAAGCTTTTTGAAATTTGAATTTAGATTTGAAAGTCAGTACCTGTAAGAACTGCCCGTGCATTTTAAAGTAATAAATAGATGAAGTTCTACACAGCTTTTCTCAATACGTTCAATGTTGATGTCAAAGCAAGTTACAAACATGATGGCCTGGAGCAAAGCGAAAAAAAAAAATCAAAAGATGCATATATCTACTTTTTTAATCTAAGAAACTGTCAGTGAGTGTTTTAATTGAAACAGAATAATTAGAGATCTGTGTTTAATGGGTAAATTTTATGATTTTTACAAAGATCATCCTTAAAATCAAGGGCCCTTCAAGCAGGTTTGAGCCTGAAGAGCACTGTGTGACACATTTTTTAGAAATCAAGTTTCATCTTAAATTCTCGTATGGAGAATCTTTCCTGAAAAATTGAAGAGTCTTTCTAAGGCAAATAAGTACATCTAATTTACATCTGTTTGATAAGTTTAGACTTTTTTTTATACTCATATTTCTTAGGGTGAGTCATATGTTTGGGTCAAATTGTTACAACCTAAGTTACTACAAAGAAAATCTTTAGTTTTTTTTAAAAGTCAGTAGATGACTTTTTGAATCTCAGAACCATCACAGCAGAAGTCTTTAGAGATAAGGGAAGGAGCTCATAATGGGGCCTCTCCTGTATTCTGAAACACACCAATGCCAGTTAACTTAAGACTCTACGTGATTGCAAGCTTATCATTGAACAATGGGTTTAATGTTCATAAGTTTTTCAATAACAGAAAAGTAAGGAGAAAATCGGGTGAAGCACTAAGTAAAGAAAAATGATCCAGGCAGAAAAAACTCAGGAGAATGTGTAATGTAAAACAAACATTTTAAGGGGGGTGGGGAGCATACTGCTCCTGGTAGTGAAGAGTGTTGTCATACTTGTGAGCAAAAAAATATTTTTGAATGAAAAATGGATCTTAATGTGGCTAGTAAAGTATCAATTGGGAACATGGTGTGTAAAAATAAGAATTGAGATTTTTTGGGGGAAAAAAAAGCTGAAAGGGGAAAATGTCAGAATGGATTTACCCTGTGAAAGAGAGGAGTGAAGGCAGGAGTGAAGGAAGAAGTTAGGAAGTTGTACAAATAGGGCCGTAGAGATCAGGAATGAAAGGAGAAGTTCCCTCGTACCAGAGTTTCTTGGAAACAGGGTGGGTGTGACTCGGATTGATCAAGCAAGGCACATCTCACAACATACTGGAAACAGATGAAAAATCAAAAATAGACAACAAACAAAAATCATAATCACAGAGAAGAGAAATTGGACCTTCATCAGCAAGGGGTTTCTTATGTGTCCTTGAACCTCTGTCTGGAGAGAGGACAGGACAAGTCACTTGGACCAGGCAGTATCAGTTCTAGTAAATTCAAGTCATATCTGGAGCCAACACTGTCCTCCCTGGGCTGTGTATTATCACTTGATTTGAATGAGGTTTTGTGCACATCATCAAATGTTAAGTCAGGAAAGCTAGTTACAGTATCAGAAGTACCCAGCATATTTTGAGCCAGAAATCCTGAGTAATGATCCCTCTTTTCCTGGTGAATATGCCAGCCCTTCAGCACCAGGAGAGAGAAAGGAGTATCAGCTCAGGGTCTGTGAGCCCTAAGAAGAGGTAGTATGGATTTAGATTTTCAAAGCAGAACGTGCAGCAGATCAATCTGCCCTTCTGCCAAACCTCAGTAATTTACGTAAAAAGAAAAGAATTTTTTAAAACACTAGACATGAGACGGAAAAGCCTTCAGGAAATTAATCAAAGGGACCAATATGTATTATGTGACACTCTCCCCAACCACCCACCCTAAAGCAAAAAAAGAAGAAAAAAAAAGAAAAACCCCACACATACATTAAAGTCCTTAGATTCCTACTCTGAAGTGTTTGGGGGTGAGGTATAGGTAAAAACACTTTCACAAAATTCTTGTAGAACCTAAACTTTTAGGAATGTATTAACTATAACCTCATGTCTACCATATAGTCAAGTGCAATATTTATAATCCAAGCTACTTTTTAAATTGGATTGAAAGCAGTAATTTTTACCACAGTGCTTTGCCAAGTTTGAAAGGGTTGGGGAAACACTACACAAGCACAGCCACACTTGGTTCTCATCCTTTCATCATGCTGACAGTTTTCCAGAGAATCATTACCAGAGTGGTTTGTGCCATTAGAGATAAGAGGCTATCTGTGTTTCCACTAGAAACCTCTATTTTCCGGACCTTATAACTCATCCATAAATATTCACTCCAGGCAACAGTTTCATATATTATGATTCTGTCCTTCAAAATCCATATTGATTTAACTAAATGATTTTTAGAAATCATGAGGACTCTTACATTACAAAAGAATAAAAAGAAAAATCAAGTGCAGATAAAGTGCTGTGTTTCAGTGGATATAATTTGAACCAGAACACTGTGGAATCCATAAAACACATGCACACAACTCTTCCTTAGCAATCCTGTCTTTCAAAGTATTATTCAGTTGTAATAAAATTTATCTGTCAATAATTAGCCTATTAATTAATTAAAAATATACATTTCCAATTTCTGTTTCTCTAAAGGCAACCAAATTTGATGATATCCCCTTTTTTAATTTTTTTTTAGGTGGCTAGTAACTAGGTTTCTGTTTTAATTTTTATAATGGAGGTACTGGGGATTGAACCCAGGACCCTGTGCATGCTGGACATGTGCTCTACCACTGAGCTATATCTTCCCCCAAAGGCAACCAAATTTGAAATTACATTTTTTCAATTAAAACTTTTGTAGAACTTTCTGTTGCTGTTCACGCTGCTTTTTTGTTACAGAATTTGAAATGGAATGAGATCAAAAGCAATGAAATTATATGACATAAGCTTTTGAATATAATAGTGCCCTTAATATTTCCAAATATATTTTGAGTCTTCTCGGTATCTTATATTCAGATGGTTTCTAGCTCCATGGTAGAAGCCAGCATTCTAGAGTTGTCTTCTGCCTGAAAGAAAAAGCCTTACACATTTTAATCAACTGAGAGACCAAAATATACTACTTCCCCCAGTCTGGAAAGGTAGAATTGTAAAGATTAGGAAACAGAGGTTAAAAACCACATCAACCCATTAAAATGAAATAAAGTCATTCCTCAGTATCTGTAGGGGATTGTTTCAGGACCCCCTTGGATACCAAAATCCAAGGATGTTCAAGTCCTGTATATAAAATGGTTTAGTATTTGCATATAATCTATGCACATCCTCCTGGGTACTTTAAATCATCTCTAGATTACTTATAATACCTGACACAATGTAAATGCTATATAAATAGTTGCCAGAGCGTGGCAAATTCAAGTTTTGCTTTCTGGATTTTTTTTTTTTCCTCTCAATATTTTCAACCCAGGGTTGGTTAAATCCTCTGGATTCAGAACCTGCAGATACACTCTTAATCCCATCGCTCGCATTTTTGTAGTCACAGATTTACACTGCTTGAATTAAATGGTCCTCTTGTTACACTGGGGTGCCCAGCTGTGTGTGTGAAATGCTGTTTAGCAAGAACTGAAATAATATCACAGGAATTTCCCTGGTGCTTTGGCTTTGGTACGTGTGCCCGCAAAGCCTAACCTAAAGTTTATTTCTCTCTCTTCTTTTCAAACAGCTGTTTTGTGACAGTAAAAAGGTGGTACATGCCACAGAGGGGCTAGATTGGGAAGACAAGGATGCTCCAGGGACGCTGGTTGGAAACGTGGAGCACTCAAGGATCATCAATCCTCTGCGCCTGTTTGTTAAACAGTCTCCAGTCCCCAAGCCTGGGCACTTGGCGTATGCAGACAGCATGGAGAACTTTTGGGATTGGCTGGCCAACATCACGGAGGTTCAGGAGCCACTGGCAAGAACTAAACGGAGGCCAATAGTGAAAACAGGGAAATTTAAGAAAATGTTTGGATGGGGCGACTTCCATTCCAACATAAAAACTGTTAAACTCAACCTCCTCATCACGGGGAAAATTGTTGACCATGGAAATGGAACCTTCAGTGTTTACTTCCGACATAATTCCACAGGCCTGGGCAATGTTTCAGTGAGTTTGGTACCCCCCTCCAAAGTGGTGGAATTTGAAGTTTCCCCGCAGTCTACCTTGGAGACCAAGGAATCCAAATCGTTCAATTGTCGCATTGAGTATGAGAAAACAGATCGGGCGAAGAAGACCGCCCTGTGCAACTTTGACCCGTCCAAGATCTGCTACCAGGAGCAGACTCAGAGCCACGTTTCCTGGTTGTGCTCGAAGCCCTTCAAGGTCATTTGCATCTACATTGCGTTTTACAGTGTTGATTATAAACTTGTGCAAAAGGTCTGTCCTGACTACAATTACCATAGTGAGACTCCATACTTATCTTCTGGCTGAATCTTTCCACAGCCACAGAAATGAAGGACGAATAGACATTCAATTAGAACGACCAAGAACCAAGCCCAGATCTTCATGGTAAAGGATCCCTTTTGTTTCTGGCAGTGAACCTTCATTCCATATAAGGTTTTCAAATTAAAAAAAAGAAAAGAAAAAGAAACATCTTTAAATGTGAAACGTGTGTGTTTCAATCATAAGTACCTTAATCTGAAGCATCAGATTGCATATGAAGCCATCACTCTCAGTGGAATGGCCAAGTCCTCCAGATATTGTTTCTCTAAAAGACGCATCAGTGGTAGCAACATGTAACAGGAAGGAGCCAAATTATGCATGTGATAAACATTGCTCTTGAAATGAGCCTGCCTTTGAAATGTGTTTTGGAAGGTTACCTTAAAAATAGCAGATTCAGTAAAGCAACTGAAAAGATTGTATTTGATAGATGAATCACATTTCTGACATCAAATTCTTTTTTTATTGCTGTCTTTTCTCCCACATCTGTGCTGTTACTGATATGAGAGATGAAGGGGTAAAATTTGTTTCAGTACTCGTGTGTGAAGTTACAGTGCTGCAGTGGAACAAAATACACTGTTATCTGAGCGAGAGTTGAGTGGAGTGTGATTTAAAAACACTTAGTCCTGGGTTGGCCACCATCCTTATGAGTCTCATCTGAGCAGTAATATTAGGGCATTAAGAAAGCAAATCTGGATATAACAGTAAGTCAGCTCAACAATAATGAAGATCAGGATGTTTTTAGATTCTTTTGCCAAATTCAGTGCTGTGAAGTCGTCAAAAATATCCTAAATCCCTATTCAATCTATAACCTCGTTCTACTCCTTTGGTAGTATGATTTTTATATACCTGTGTAGAACAACTCTGAAACTGAGAGAAAGTGATCGTTTCTGAGGGTAGGATGGAAAAGAAATTGGAAGTGGAAGGAGGAAATTCCAGGATGATTAGTCATCATTTCTAGCCTCTTAGATTAAGTTCTCCTTGTATTTAATTATTTAAATGAGGGATCAAATGCTACGGAAAGAAAGAGAATATTTAAACATGACTATTATGAAGTGTTAACTACCAAGATACATGACTTATCAGGCTTTTTAGATGACTTCCACAATCTGGTCCTTCTCATCTTCTCTGAGGGGATCGACGGTCATCCTATGTCAAAAGACTGGCTGATCTGTGAATTAGCAGAGAAAGAGAGTGTGGCTGACCAGTGGAAAGATTTTTAGAATGTGTAAGACTCATGGAATGGTTACTCTTTTTACCATAGATGTTAACTTTTCTCCTTCTTATCTGTAAAGTATCACTTACAGTAAAACATTAAATGGAGGACTGAAGGACGACCAGTCCTAACCAACAAAAATGCTCTTACCACCTTGTTCAAAAAGTCAACAGCTCTCATCTCTGTTTTGCATCTCCATGCCTTTCATTTTCCTGGTGATATCTGCACAGTGTTTGGTTTTTTGTCTTTTGTAAAAAATTGTACTAGGCTTAGTGTGTGGTAGTACAGGCTTGAAATTTTTGCTCTGAGTTCATCCGGTGCTTTTGTAATTTTGTGGTTGGTGTGAAATACTTTGAAACATCTTTTTATTTTCACTTAGAAACAAGATTAAAATACTATTTATTGTAAAATATGTGGGAATCATATATGTATATACACTTAGAATTTTCTGTGTACAGAGAGTATGTGTACACATTTCTATGTAAATAAAAAGAATTTGCTAAATCTGTCAGAGGACTTTAGGACTTTGTTATTTTTTAAGACTGTTCTTGTTTCCTTTCCTCACAGTGGTTTATTGTGTGTGTGTTTGTGTGTGGGTATGTATTATCAACTGAGCAGTAAGATTTTCCTTATGTACATATTAAACAGAGCAGCTAGGCTATGTAGAATATATAGTAAAAGAATAATTCATAAACCACTAGTTGGCATCTAATAAGAACTCTGTGAGTGTGGGCTCCTATTATGATTGTTATAATTATTATTACATGAAATGCAATTTAAAACTACCTGATGTTCAAAAGTTGAGTGAGAAAAACGTTAGATCTGTGCAAAGAAAAAAACTCAATAGGTTGGCATAATTCTTAGATTTTTAGCAGGGTTTGTGGAGTTTAAAAAACAGAAACTTTCCCTAGGCATATTTTTAATTGGTGTAGAACATATGCCACATATATTTTTTAGTCATAATTTCATTTCAAAGCCTACGTAATTGTCAGTAATGGTACTTGGCACAATATAAATCAGATCCCATTTAAACATGCAAATGCACACATTTCTACAAAACCATTTTTGCCTTTGAGTACTGCAGTTGAGGAAAAGGACACTCACGGAAGCTAATTTTACACCTAGTCACCACAGAGTGTTCAAATGGAAAGGATCAGACCCTTTTAAAAATGAAAACTAAACTAAGAGGTAAGAACACCTGAGAACAATAGAATATTATGTGTCAATTCTGCCTCAATAAAAAAAAATTTAGTTAAAAAAAAAACACACTAGCAGGAATTTAATCTCTCGGCCCACTGTTTACTAGAAAGCAAACTAGTTTGAAGACCTTTTCACCCCTGAGCAGAAACAATCTTGTTACTCATCACCACACAGAGTCAGAAAAGAGGCCTTATTTCCATGACAGTGAGCAATGTGATGACACCAGCCTCAGGCTTGTAAAATCTGTAGAAGGGAAATAAGAGGAAAAAACGTGTGGATACCATGTAGCACAGCAGGAACCAGTAAAAAGGAAACCATTTTGCTTATTCCTACTACTTGGTACTTGGAATTTCAACACATTCTCATGATCTAGAATAACAGACAATGAGGGTGGTTCTCTGATGTGGCTACTCACGAGAGAACCTGATTCATATCACATTATATTCTTTAAACTTTCTTCTGCATCCCTGTTCTTCTTTGTTTTATATGACCCAGATGCTACATGCTACATTTTAGGCCCAATTGCTACATCTTAAACATTTGACAGCTGGCTAATCCTGTTGCCATTCAAGACTTGGTTCTGCGGGGTCTCAGCTGACTTAAGAGTCCTCATATTCAAAGTACAGATCAGCAGTATTACCTGTAAGCTTGTTAGAAATACAAGCTCTCAGATCTTGCCACAGACACTGAATTGGAGATTTCAGTTTTACAAGACCCCCATGTGACTTTTATTTACATTAAAGACTGAGAAGTACTTCCCTGGAAATTCTGATTTAGTAAATGAGCTGGAGGAACTAAAAATCGACATATTTTGTATACTTTTTTTTTAAGATTCCACAAATGAACTTATTTATTAAACAGAGACAGGCTTATAGACATAGAAAACAAATTTATGGTTACCAGTTGGGCAAGGAGGTGGGGAGGGATAAATTGGGAGTTTGGGATTTGTAGATACTAAGTACTATATATAAACTAGATAAACAACAAAGTCCTACTGTACAACACAGGGAACTATATTCAGTACCTTGTAATGGCCTATAATGAAAAAGAACATGAAAAGGAATATATATATATATATATATATATATTCATGATTCTCTGCTATACACCAGAAATTAACACAATATTGTAAATCAGCTATACTTCAGTTTAAAAAAAAAAGGAATCTACATCTTAAATAAGCATCCTAGGTTATGCTGGTTCAAACGGGCTTCTGACAATACTTTAAAAAAGTTAAGGGAACAAACCCTTTTAAAAATTAAACTAATAGATTGACAAACAAATAAAGAAAAGTGGTCCAACCAATAGTAACATACAGAAGAGGAATATTTCAGAGTGCAGCCTACAGCATCTTCTGGTTCATCCCTCCCATTTGACAGACAAGTAAAACCAAGGCCCCATCAGAGTAAAGGACATGCCCGTCAGGAAGTGGCAAAGCCAACTGAAATGTAGGGCTCCTGACGTCTAGGCCCAGGTCTTGAGTCACAGAAGAAAGGTAAATTGAAACAGATAATCAAAACAAAATAAAAATGATGGTAGGTAGTTCATAACAAGACATGATCCAGAAGCCAAAACTAAACGTGAAAGTGGCCCGCAATGCCCTCTTTTCAAAATCTTCAGGATTGTGATTTCTGTATGAAGACAACATTTTTAAAAATTATAACTAGAGAAAAATAAATCCAGGATAGAGCCATTTTGTCCAAAGATTAAGAGCCCTGGAATACATTAGAGGTGTGACCAGCTAAGAATTACCGGCAGTAGAACACTGCATTTGACAATATTTTTCATCATAAAACTTGAGAATAAGTTTTCATAGAAACAGGTAAATTGTGTGTAATGCCTTAATTGCCAATTTTACCTCATAAAGAATCTTAAATTAATTCACTGCCTATAAAATAGAGGATGGATTCATGCATTTTTACTTGTAGTAAAACTACAGTTATCCTCAAGTTAATTAATCAGAACTTGCAATGAATGGAAATTTAATGTCTCTTGTTGTAAGAGACAAATCACAGGGAAACAAGCTTATGTTAGAGATTTTTTTTTTCTTCCTAAAAGTCCTGTAAAAGATATTCGAGATATTCCCCTCATGTCCTACCCTAAAGTTTGAGGTCTGGAACCCTGGGAACATATCCTGTTCTGCTTCATTCATAATCGTCTCCTTTCATCATCCCACTCCACTCCCCTGTAAATAGTCTGTAATCTCTTCTCAAAAGCAGTGAGTTAACTGCATCCTCTGCAGCACCCAGCAAAGTGTCTGGTATATAGTAGGTACTTATCAATATCTGTCACTTATTTTTTAAAAAATCTCCAGTGTGTAACGATTATTCCATAGCTCTTCTACCCATGTAACATAAGAGCTCTCTTGCCCCATTTCCAACATGAACACGTTGCTCCAGCTGAACCAGTACCCATCGAATGTTAGCTCTAGAACTACAGAAACGTAAAAGATGGAAACATTTTTGCAAATGATCTAGAATAGGTTTTACTTATCAGATAAAGAATTGGAAGCCTAATCAGGTTTAACAGCCTGGTTATTTTTATTGTTCCTCCTGCCCAGATAAAGTCATTCTTTCCCTTCTTTATTCCCCCAGATCACTGATGTTCCTTCCATATTTGTGATAGAGACTGTCAGCTGTTCATACACCAGCATGGACCCTGGTCCTTCACCTGTTACAGTGGACGGGTCAAGTGTGCAGCTGGCCAGCTAGGCTGCATGT